AGCCTCTCTGCTCCTATGATGCTGCTTGGCCTGCTGTGTTCATCCAGGCCTGCACCTTGTTGACTGACTGACTGACTGTCATGTTCAGTATGTTTGGTGTGATTCAACAAATTGAGTCCAACAATGGTCCTCAGCACCCTCCAGTGCCCTTCCAATATGTAAAGTAAATGGCTGTTCAACATTTTACCTATTCTCCTCATAATCCTCTATCAAACTGTCTCATTGAATGTGTTGTTTATACCAAGGTTTTCGAATGACTGTGTGAAATCTGTGCTACGCTTTTTTTTCAAAGATTTGGCCTCATCAACAACTGTCAGGTTGGGGGTCAGATTCACACAGCTCTTCCCTTTCATACTGTCACCACCCAAACAACTGTGTGACACATTGTTGGAAAGAAGGGAGAAAATGGTACAAGCACATCATCATTGAGCATGCAAACGATAATTCGAACTTGAACTAAGACAAAGTGTTCAAGTTTGAGACATGGAAAATGTTTCTGGATGGATTCTACATCATTGTGTTTAGTCTAGATCATATGATGTAATTGGCAATGGTCCACTCCTGCAAAAAAAAAAGATATATCTGAACTACATATCATCAACTACCTATCATGCCAGATAACAAGCATAAATCAATGATTAATGGTATACACCCTTTTACAATGATAGCACACCACAAACTGAAGCTACAGCACCAAGTTGTGATAACTGTATAAGGACTAGATCTGGTCATTTCATATGTCTGCCATATAATGTACGTACTTGTACATGCTTTTGGAAAAGGATTGCCGTTCTTTAACAGGAAATGGAAGTGTTGTGTTATGGCGTAGATTCCAAATCTGTTATCTGGCATGATAAGTGGTTGATGATAGGTAGTTCAGATATATCATCTTTTTTTTTTGCAGGAGTGGATCATTGCCTATTACGTCATATAATCTAGATAAACATGTACCTTTTAAGACAATTGCATATATCACAGTATGTGACACTCCAACATAATTCTGTTACTGAATTATGGAGTCAGTGACTGTGTCATCCGTTAGTCAGTTATGTGCACGTTACTGTACATTACATCAGTACTTACAGAACCTAGACTGTAAGTCTGTGATAGTGTAGCCTTATAAAAAAAAAAGTTCAAGATATCCAACTCCACAGAACCCAAAATCTATGATATACATTACACGGACTAACATGTAGTAAAGCATAAACATGATAGACTTCCTGGTTTTCCATATATGTGATTAAAAGTTTCATTTTTGACTTGGTTTTGCACACATCTATGTATTTACTAACAGGACTGCAGAGGAGTTCAAGCCAGCCCTTTTAACAAAATTTAATGTGAAAGATAATTTTCTAAAATAGAAAACCAGGAGCTTTGTTAAACTCCATTGAGAGGCACAGTGAGCCAGATCATTTTGTTACAAAGAAGCCAAACATTTACGTAGAAATTGATCAATTCAAAAATGCCATTTAACTTAGAAACTTATGAAGTTTGCATGAATTTCCACATGGTGTTCCATGAGATTTGTCCCTGTGTTTTGTGGATTGAAAGCTCCTCTGTCAGCCTGTTATGTACTGTTGTGAATAATCCATTTCAGTAACATGGGTACTCAAAGGGAGTCAAACATGAGCTGGAATGGTCAGTGATCAAGGTGGGGATTGTGCAGTTTAGCCTTGTTTCTTACTATTCTTCACATTATTCAGTTGATAAAACAAGAAACGTCTCCTGTAATAGTTCACTAAATCTTCAATCTCATTAGAATGAACCCAACATGCTATATTTATTTATCCATAGAAGCTTTTGGCTATTTGAACAAAATATCTCCTTATGAGTTCTGTAACTAATTTTGTTTTGTAACTCTCTTGTGTAGAAATTTAGGACATTTTCTTGTAAGTTGTTCCTTCCCCCTTATTCCTTGATATCCTTCACAGAACTGTTCTGTTGGATTTTTTTAAAAAAAAAATTGCAAAAAGACTGGCAATCGTAACTGGGTTACTTTTAACTGCATTGTAAATCTACAGTTGGCAGTAATATCCCCTGTGATTTGTGTAGCTGGAGAAACAATGAGAACACATTTGTTTTACAATACATTTAACTACAAATTCTTTTATCATCACAGAAGTTCCTAAAGCGTGCAGGTTGGAGGCAGATTCAGGACCATGCCGTGCTTACCTTGAGAGATATTTCTACAACTTTACAACAGGACAATGTGAGGAATTTGTGTTTGGTGGTTGCTTTGGAAATGAGAATAATTTCAAAGACATTTCATCTTGCCAGAATGAGTGCAAGCCAATATCGGGTAGTTATTTTAAATTATTTCTTTCTTCACTTTAAGTCACTTCAAATGAAACAATAATGTATACCGCAGTAAGTCAGGTATTTTCAACGGTATAATTTCTTTACAGTTTTACCCTCCTTCTGTACCAAGCCCAAAGATAAGGGAACTTGTGCAGCTGATATCCTACGGTTTTACTTCAACGATGAGAAAGGGATCTGTGAGACATTCAATTACTCTGGCTGTGGCGGAAATGACAATAACTTCATTTCTCTGAATGATTGCCAAAAGATTTGTCAACCACGTAAGTCATCGGAGTCCTGATATTTCAGGGAAGATATGTCAATGTTTCTAGAGCAGGGAGCTCTGGACGGGAAACCTGATGATCTGCTGATATTAACTACAACTTTTCATTTATTCCTGTACGTTTCATGCCTGACTGACTGACTAACAGGTTTGTTTCTGGTTGTGCAGTAGGGCTGGTGGCCCAGGGCTGTAGCCAAGGAGCAGAAAATAAGGAGAGAGGGAAGAAGAGAATGCATTTGGGTTAAAGGAAAACATGGAGCTGGCAGGATCCTGGAGGGAGGTGGTAAAACCAGGAGCTTAAAGCAGGGAAACATGTTTGCCTAGAGGATATACTTCTACTCCTTTCAGCTCACGAGGAGTGCTGGAAATGCTCGGTTTTCTGAGGCTTAGAAAACATAGCTGAGAAAAGTACAGGAAAAACTCCTGTTTATTTTATTAAAAATGTTCATTGCTGTTGCTGACTGAGTTGTTTTGCCCCACAGCAAATTGGTCACCTGCTCCTTTTGCATCATCTTCAAAACTGGAAATGGACAAAACAAAGTGTTTTGGGTGGTTTGAAATGTTTAACTTCTCACATAATCCCAAACTACACATTTTTGGAGGATAAACTTATATAGAACATAGAGCTGTACAGCACAGGAACAGGCCCTTCGGCCTGATCAGATGGAGTTCAGTGTAAGCAAGTGTGAGGTCATCCAATTTGGACTGAAAGAAGATGGATCAGGATACTTTCCAGATGGTATGAAGTTAAATACAGAGGATACCCAAAGAGACTTGAGGCTCAGGGACATAAATCTTTAAAATATCAAAAACAGATTCAGAAAGCCATTGGAGAGCTGAATATTGTATCTACAAACCCCAGTTGGAGTACTGTGAGAAGATCTGAGCATCACTCCTTAGGAAGAATACATTGACCTTGGAGGGAGTACATTTGTAGCCTTTCAAAAATAATGTCTGGACCTCCAGGGTGAAGTCATGATGATAGATTAAACCAATTTAGGTCTGTTTTCACTTGAATTTAGAAGGTTAGGGGATGATCTTATCAGAGTTTTCAAAATATTTACAGCAAAAGAAAGAGTAGATTAACTATTTCCACTGTTTGGAAATTCTAGATGTAGGGGGCATAGTCTGAGAATTAGGGCCAGACCGTTCAGGAAAGATGTCAGAAAGCATTTCTACTCACAAAAGGTAATGTAGTGATTATAACAAGGTAGCCAGGTAGACCTCCGAATAGGATTTCCCTGATTGGACCAGATTAACAGCTCTAATCAGGGAGTCCTGGCTAAAAGATAAGAACAGGAGTGGATCAATGTCAAAAACTCTCCACTTGTAAATAAATGATGACTTGGTGATGGGATACCTGTCTCTGTGGATTTGTTTCAGGTAGTAAATGTTCTACAAATGGCAATGGATGCTAGATCAGTTGTTAAATTTAATCTCTCGCTCTCGCTGTCTCCTGTTTAAAATTTTGTTAAGCGAAGGTACTAAGGGATATGGTTGAAAGGCAGATATATGGAGTTGGACCACAGATCAGCCATGTTCTCATCGAATGGAGGTACAGGCTCAAGGGACTGAGTAGCCTACTCCTGTTCCTATATTCCTATGTTAATCAAATAGTCAGCATTCAAAACCAATTATTTTTCACACATCCTTTTACATATACTTTGGTGAGCAGAAGAAACCAGCTAAATATTGCAATAAAAGAGTTCCACGTGCAGACCCAGCATAACCTGTCTACATCAAACATGTGATTGCACTGGAGAGGATGTCGAGGAGATTCAGCAGGATGTTGTCTGGGATGGAAAGTCTCAGTTATGAGGAGAGACTGGACAGGCTGGGTTTGTTTTCCTTGGAGCAAAGGAGGCTGAGGAGGGGATCTGGTTGAGACATATAAAATTGAAGAATAAGTAGGGTAGATCATGAGAATCCTTTCCCCATGGCAGATGTGTCTAAGATTGGAGTGCATAAGTTTAAAGTGAGGAGTAAGTGGTTAGAGGAAACCAGAAGAAATACTTTTTCACCCAGAGGATGGTAGAAATATAGAATACATTACCCAAGAGGGTGCTGAATGCAGGTGCTCTCACAGCATTTAAGAAGCAACTGAATGAGCATTTAAAATAGTATGGCATTGTAGACTATTGATCAAGTGCAGGAAAATGGGATTAGTGTAGTTTGGTATTTGTTGGTTAGCATAGACATAATGGGCCAAAGGGCCTGTTTCTATGCTAAATGACACTATGTTGATTAAGATTTTTAGAAGATATCTATCAGGTATACAGAATTCATGATTTGGATTAGCTGTTTTTAACGTATAAATCAATCACATTTCAATTCGGCATTGTACATCCACAACCAGCTCATGCGCATATAAATTAGAATAAGCATCCAAGATATATAGGTAAAAAGGTAGAAATAGTAAATTAAAAGGATTGGGGGTAGTAGTGGTGGGGCGGGAGAAGGGAATGGGGAGGGATTTGTTGTCAAAGGTTAAATAGCATCCAAAGCATCCTTTTGTTAGCTTCATTTACCTTGGTCTGTTTCAAAATGGTAACCTAGTCTGTGAGAACATTTGGATAATGATAAGGGAGACCTACACTTCTTCTCTCATTTGTTTTGGACCAAGATAAGTGGTTGCCGCAAGCAATCGATTCCAGCTTTCTTTTGGAGGCTTCCTATAAGACAGTGGTCCCAAGGAAGGTGGCTTAATTCTCGAGGGTTCCCTAGCACTGTAACTGACAGGGCCCTCAACTGGGTCCAACCCATCTCCTTCACTTTGCCCCTCACCCCCTCTCTTCCCTCCCACAACAGCAGTAGGGTCCCTCTTGTCCTCACTTACCATCCCACCAGTATTCGCATCTATAAGATCATTGGCTGCCATTTCTGCCACCACCAGACACGCGTTCCGCTCCCCTCCCTTGTCCGCCTTCCGCAGGAACCGTTCCCTCTGGGACACCCTGGCTCACTTTCCTTCACTCCCAACACATCCCCGTAGCCCCATGACACCTTCGCCTGCAACTGCAGATTATGTAACTTCCTCCCTCCTCACTATCCAAGGCCCCGAACACACCTTCCAGGTGAATCAGCGCTTTACCTGCACTTCATTCAATCTAGTCTACTGTACTTCCTGCTCACAATGTGATCTTCTCTACACTGGGGAAACAAAGCATAGACTGGGTGACTTGGGTGACTGCTTCACTGAACGCCAATGTTCTGTCTGCGAAGAAGACCCTGAGCTTCCAGTTGCTTGCCACTTTAACATACCATTGTGTTCTCTAGCCAACATCTCTGTTCAGGCTTGCTGCAGTGCTCCAGTGAAGCTCAGCACAAGCTGAAAGAACAGTACTTCACTTTTCACCTGGGAACCCTGTTGTCATGGACTTAATACTGAGTTCAACAATTTTAGGGCTTGAGCACCTTTGCCCATGCTTACACCCAACCCCACACACCAGGCCTTGGCATCACATGGGCTGCTACCACACTCTACCCATTGTCAGTCACTAGTAGTCCCCATTAGCAGCTATTCATTCCCCCAAATTGACCTTTAACCACTCCCCTGTCCGTCCAAGCATGTTTCTCTTTCTTTTGGGCTCAATCTCCACCTATCCTTTACTCCTCACCCCCCCCCCCCCCCCCGCCAAGCACCCACCCACTCCATCTTCTATATATATATAAAAAAAATCCTTTTCCTGGCTACCTTCAGTTCTGCAGAAGAGTCACCAGACCCAAAACGTTAACTCTGATTCCTCTACACATGCTGCCAGATCTGCTAAGATTTTTGAGCAATTTCTGTTTCTCTTTCAGATTTCCAGCATACACAGTTCTTTCAGTTTATTATCTAGAGATGACAGGACTGTATTAAAAAAAACTTGAAGATTTGTTCAACTTGGCCATAGAGAGACAAACATATATCACAACAAGTTATTTTCAAGAGTAAACAATTCCTAGCATAAAAAGCATTGTGCGAGGATATTGTGACACATGGGTATTGAACACACACACCAGCTAGCATTTTGAGTCAGTGTACTGGGCAGTGATGAATCAGGATATTTGAAGACTCGTGAATTCATGTGAAGCATGTCAAATGAATCAAGCCCAGCAATGGAGGGAGCATCCACATCTACACTATGTTCCGTCCACTCCTTGGATGAAAGTAGCAAAAGATCTGTGCAGTGTGTAGGAAAGATTATATCCTTGTGATGGATTATTTCTCCAAATTTCTTCTTCACAAAAACTTAGCAACACAACAAACATAACTCTTGCTGACATGATGAGCAGTATTTTCAGGTTATTCAGTATCCTGTAATGAGTAGTGTCTGACAAAAAGCTATTATTCACCCACAAACCATTTCAAGATGTGTGCCAAGAGGAAGTGACCTGTTTCACATTGTCACCCCAGCAGAATATATTGCCTGTACATCAAATAAATCATATTAAAGTTTCAAGCAATAAAGCAAGACTTAGTGTTTGCATTGATTCATTTTTGTGCAACACCAATGGAGATGGGATTACCATTTCCAGCACAAATTATTCTGAAAATGCCAGCAAGTTGAACAAGGCACAGAAGAATCTGTCTTTGTAAAGAAAACGTTGATGTCTGGTGTAGCCAAAAGCTAATGGAAGGACCCATGTAGAATCTTCCCTTGAAGGTATAGTTGGAATACTAAGGAAACCTAAAGGACAGTGAATGAGCCTGTAGCATTTTGTAAGGCAAGGGAAATCTTGGAGCTAGAGTGAAGTGGCATGGGCAGGATTAGAGGGAAAAAGAGTAGAACAAAGTTTCTAGTATAAATTCTTACAAGTCACAGTATTGAGATTGCTTTCCCTACTTTATCAAATTTCTGTATCCAATAAAGTAAGTTTTTGTGACAAATATTAAATCATTTGACATGGTTCTGAGGGTTAATTGGTGTTTGGATTTCATCTCTAAACATTAATGATCAGGCTCAATTTGTTAACTCAGGGCTTTAGGATCCTGGAACAATGATGCAACAGTGTCATGGAGCTGTTAGCCCCCAGGGAGGAGTTGACTAGATTCAAATAAACAAAACACTATTGAAAAAGACTAGTAGTTCCATGTGCAACAGTAAGATTAGAGCCTGTACATCTCAGATTACCATGTTTACTTGCATTTAGTAATAATATGCAGTTAATCAAGATGATCTTGTCTTATCCTTGACCAGTTGACTCAAACCCAAACTCTAAGATGTGGACATAAAATTACACTACAAGAGTACCAGATCATCCCACCTGATTATCAATCTACCAATCAAATTACCTTTTCAAACAAATTCTGAAAGATATTTGCATTTCAATTGGATAGCTTGATTCCTTTTTTGAGTATCTAGATAAAACAAAATGACTAAAATCTGTAATTTTTAACGTCCGTGTTTTTGTTAGGACATGTTTTCTTTGTAAGAAAAGCTTCTTCCAGTAGAAAAGGAATTTGTTTTGTATGAAACCCAGAGTTTTAAAAATATTAGTCCATGTTACACAAAGCACTCATGGTTGTTACTGTAGGATTGTTGAATATACAGGCTGTACAGAACATCCAAAATGTATTGATTTCCCTTGACATTTTGTTTCCTTTTTGGTAGGTGACCGAAAACCAGTGAAAAGCAAGGTTCCTGTGACACCACGTTATAAGATAATTAAATTAAAAGGAAGAAAGCAGTTTTTAAGAAATCAAAAGAGGGAAACTTAAATGTTGATCGCTCTTAGCAAGAAGGTCCAAGTCAAGTGTCCTTATTTTCCACCTTGGTTTAAAATCTAGACTGAGATCAACATTTTCTCCATATCTTTGAACATCAGACGAGGAGATGCAAGCAAAATCTAATCTCCCAAAATATTCTGAGTGTAAAGGGTTTTTTTTTTCAGATTATGCTTTTGTTGCATTTATTATGGTGTTACTCATTTTGCTAAGATAATGTTTTAATAACAACAGGAAACTAAAGAAAGGAAGGATTTAATGGATCATTAAATGGATCATTTCTCATTCTACTTATTTTTACAATATTCTGGTGGAATCTGTTTAGTGTTAGATACCATACATTTAAATGCTGGCAATGGGACTAGATTTATTTAGAATATCTGGTCACATGGAAACAGACCCTTTGGTTCAACTGATCCATGCCAACCAGATACTCTAAATAAATCTAGTCCATTTGCCAGCATTTGGCCCATATCCCTCTAAACCCTTCCTATTCATGTACCAGCCTCCACTGTTTATTCTGGCAGCTCATTCCATACGTGCACCACCCTCTGTGTGGAAAAGTTGCCCTTCAGGTCCCTTGTAAATCTTTCCCCTCTCACCTTAAACCTATACCATCTAGTTTTGGACTCCCTCACTCTGGAAAAAAGACCTTGTCTATTTACCTGTCCCTTTGGCCCTCATGATTTTATAAACTTTTGTAAGGTCATCCCCCAGCCTCCACTCCAGGGGAGAAAAAAAGCCCCAGACTATTCAGCCTCTCCCTATAACTCAAACCCTCCAACCCTAGCAACATCCATGTAAATCTTTTCTGAACCCTTTCAAGTTTTACAACCTCCTTCGTATAGCTGTCAATTTTTTCTTGGCATCTCTTCTATGACTTATTTCAGTTCAAATAGATATAAAACTTTGGAATTATTCAGTCCTCTCATAATTATTTCTTGAATTCAAAAGCACCAGCAATTTCAACTGCTTCACTATATTTGAATGGGTGTTAACCTTTATATTAGGTTCTTTGCAATTGACAGTGAGAAAGCTAGAACATACAGTTGAATACCATTTTTTGTACAGAGATATATGAAGGAACCTTGAACTCTGTTCGAAAGGAAACTTTTTGTGAGACCATTGCTTTTGGGAAGTTAAATCACATTATTGCTTTAACTAGTTAGATTCACTTTAAAGCCTGTAATTGTTAAAATCTACTGAACTACTTTTATGACTGTTATTTAGCAATTACGTACATATTAAATATATCAAATATGTATAAAGTACTAGAATTTATTCTTAGAATATGGGAAATTTGATAATATCCAAAGATGCTGCCCTGTTGGAATAAATTCTGTATTGCTACTCCCTGTTATGAATACTCAGTTGAAACAGGGAATATTTACGTACTGAAGCCTTAAAAAAATTAAAAAGAATGAAAGACAAATGTGTGAATGTATTTCTTTGTACAAATTACAGGGGAAGACTTCTTATATTTAAAGTTTTGGCAAAGATCTGTAGCTCGCGTTGTGGATGAGGTGGTTCACTTGCTCAGCAAGCTGGCTTGATTTTGTTCAATGAACAGCTTGGCGAGCAAGTCAGCAACCTAAGAGTTCTTATGTTCTCATAAAATCTGTAGCCCTGCAGTAGGCTTTTGGAGAAGTGTTTCTAATGATCTCACATCTATTCCAATGTAGGTTTGGGCTGAAAACGATGGGGGAGGTGGTAGAAGGGTTGGACAGCTTGCCTGCCAGTTTGATGTCCACTCCACAGCCATAAAGTGCAATGGATGGCTAAACTTGCACCCCTCTTCAGACACTCCGATTGCCCAACTACCCCAGTAGCTCTGACATCACTGGAGCTCTGTCGTGGGTCTTGGCACAACGGCAGGTATATTCAAGGATTGTGGGATAGGTTTTACTTGGCATCTTAACCCTCTCTCCGACTTGCCAATGTGGTAAGATTTAAAGAATACGCAGGAGGTGGGGAAGAAATATACAAACAAGGACAGGAGTTGGCTATGTGACCCTTTGAGTTGACTTTGCTGTTTATTAACTTAATAGCTGATCTCATTGTAACCACCAACCCACACTCCTACCTACACCAGATAGTCTTTCAAACCCTTGCTTCACCAGAAACTATCCACGTCTCCCTTAAAGACATTCAAAGATCGCCTTTTCAAGAAAAGAGTTCCAAAATTTTATCACCTTTTTGAGAAAATAATTTCACTTCTGCTGTTTCTAATATGTGACAGTATGAAACAGTGACTCCCTCAGATTCTGAATTTCCCATTAAAGGAAACATCGTCTCCACCAAGATTATATGTAACAATTGACTTTTCTCTTATTCTTTTAAACTCCGGCAGATTCAAGCCTATCCAACCTTTCCTCGTGTGACAACCTGCTCATTCCAGATATCCCATCTTCCTCCTGCCATTTTAAGCACTTTCTTAAGAAAAAAGTCATGAATCCCTCTCTCGCTTGAGGTCCTGATGGATGGTCTGATGGGAAAAAGGGCCATTTGCCTTCTTTGGGGCTGGTGGAGGAGCGGCTGCCACAAGATACTGCCAGATTGCCTGAAGTAGTCTCACCCACACCACATGCTACCAAACTATGAACCATGCCTGCCCCCTGCATTTCATACTCATTCACTATGGATACCTCACCACTTTTCCCGACTGAGAACGGATCAACATCCTGACGGACCAAAAATGACTATAAAACACTTGACTAGACTAAGGGCTACTCCACTTTGACTTTCTAACATTTGGATATAGAACATGCAGTATATTTGTCAGATAAGCTGCTGCTCTATGCTATAGTCGCGACTTTGATGGAGTAAGGTACACCAACATGTCTGCCTTGACTGCTCGTTACTAGCCAATGGATAGATATTGGATAATGCTCTTGACTTACCGTGCTTGTAGCCCTTGCAGACAACAGAGCTCACAGACTTAACTGTGGATTAATCCCCTTACATTATGAGGCATAGCCATTTGTTTGAAGCACATGCTCGCCATGTAAGTTGCTGGCATGTGCTGTCAGTTTGACATTGATGTAGCACAGTGCCATACATCAGGCTGTCCACCCCTTTGATTGATCATTGCAGGCAGACATATGAAGGGTCATCGGAATAATTCCTGGGATAAGAGGGCTGAGCTGTGGTGAAAGATTGATTAGAAATGGGCTAATACTCTTTGGAGTCTAGAAGGATGAAAAGTTAGTCATTGAAACTTATGAGACCCTGATAGTTTTGACAGGGTAGCTGCGAACAGGTTGTTTCCATGGCAGAAGAGTCAAGAACTGGAGGAGATTGGCTAGGGATAAATAACTGAACAACTTTTGTCAATTCTGACTAAATGATAGAGACAAATTGAGCATGTTTTCAATCAGTGCTGATTTATATTTTGTAATTAAACAGATTGCAACACTATATTGCAGTAAATTAAGTAGTCATATTAACTGAATTATATGTGCAGATCCTACATCAAAAATCTTGAAGCCAGATTAATTTAACAAGTACAGCTTATCAAATGTTTTAAGACAAAGCAAACAATCACAGGTTTAAATTGAAATGGCTAATAACATATAATGAATTTTAAATGTGGTCATCCCCTTGTGAACCGGGCGCTAAATCGATCTTTTGATCAAGTTTTAATCAACTGTGAAGAGATTTAAACACCTGAGCTGAGATTTGTAATTAAAATTGTAGCTAATTGCATTGGTCTACACAGTTAGGAGGTCCTTTCAACCAAACCACTGGGCAAGAAACAGTTGCTTTGGAGTCAGCCGTAGGTTTTATCATCGGCCAACTTGATATTTGATTTTTGTATGTGTCATCACACTATGTTTCCCCCTTTTGGGGATGTAATGGAAGGAATCTTAAGCTGAATATCAGCCCACTGAATCATATTGTGGATGTTCTTTCTGTGGCCAAGGCACCTGACCTGAACTCAGGGTTGTCTGGTATCGAGATGGGGCACTATCATTGCATCACAAGCCTTCATCTTGATATTTGACTGAAACCACAGAGAGTAAAACTGAACCGGTGTAAAATGGGTAATGGAGTCAAACTAATACCCCACTGTTTTTCACCCACGAGTTGGGTTAAAATTGCTTCCTTAACAGTTTGTTGCTTGTAGCAATGAAAGAAACATTTGCCAGAAGAATTCACAAAAGTGAATACAGTTCATTGTTTAAATGTGTGTGTTAATTAGAGCCATTTGAAATGTGGCTCAGTTGTTACGAAACTGAAACTATATTGAAGAGATAATTGAGTTAAAGTCCCACCACTGTAGTTTGAAAATTTAAATTTGATTTTAAACCACCTGGAAATATAAAGCAGCTATTAGTAAAAGTGAAGGTGAGGCTGTCAGCTTACTGTAAAATCTATAGGTTCACAGCCAGTCTCTAGGGAATAAAAGCTGGCATTTTTTACCTATCTCATCTATAAATCACTACAGTCACACACCTTCACTGCTCTCTGAGGCAGCATTGAAGCTTGTCCATGTGGATGGTAGCAATTCAAGAAAAAAAAACCGTATCACCTTCTCAGGGAAACTGGGATGGCTAACCTCGGAATAAATAGCCACAACCTTGAATGAATTTTGAACATCTTTCAGAAAAGGTCTGACTCTTGATTCGATCTTAACAGCTGGTGATGAATGGGAACAGACAGAGTATGCTTTCTTCCCAGTGTGGGGAAGACCCATTCCGATCTCTCCAGGCAATTGTATATCTCAAATAGTCATTGGGCAATTCAAACATTGAGCAGGCTTTTGGGCAGATCCTGAGCGGAATGTGGAGGAGAGGGTGTGCATTTCTGAGCTGGAAATTATGTTTGGTCCTTTTATTTTCTTTCTGGCTCTACAAAAGCATGACATTAAAGCGTTCAGGTTCTTCTTGGCCCTGTATGGACCAAACCCTATGCAATGAGTTATGATATGTCCTGTACATCATAAAATCCTGAAGGATGGCGAAAGCAGAGATGATCAGTGTTTCCAAAATGAAATTGGACCAGCAGCTGAGGGCCATAACCTTACACAGCTGGTTATGTTGCACTGCAAAGGGCTAGCATGGTTTTGATAGACTGAATGACCTTCATCTGTGCTGTACACACTCCAAGTAAGATTCTTGCAGAACTCTCTCAGTTATTTTAATTTCCCTCATAAAGGCACTGGGCATAATGCCAGTGGCTGGGATTGGAGTAGGAATAAGGCAGTATGCACCAAATTCTGATTTGAGAACTTTGCTCCCGCAAGACAAGCTAAAAGGCAAAATCAACTCGAGTGTTTCTTCAGTTTAACCTTTGGGTTTAAGCCACTTATTTTATTAATACTTCTTAATCCGACTATGATTAAAATCTCTTCGGGCAAAATTTTTTAATTGCGGGTAAGTCTGGGAAATTGACCACTGGCTGGATCTTAGTTATTTTTGGCTAAGTGCAAGTTGTGTCAAGCTTT